GGGGGGGGGGGGGGACATAAGTGTGTGCACGGTGTAGAGTGTTTGTCTCTAGTTGCAGAAATTGTAGACTGAATGTACGTAGAAGTCGAAGAGTTCATCGTTGCTGGCGTTGTGGGCTGTTGTACTACTTGGTCGCCCAGTCCAGAGGGTGCACTCTAGCCTTTGCGCAACCCAGCGCTTACTGCAAGGCAGCAGCGATATTCTATATGAGCCCGTGTCCAGTATTTGGTCCATTCACCTCTTGTCTAATCCCACCGAACAATAGGTTTCGACAAGCGGCGATAGCCATATTTAGTGGCGAGCCACACTTATCACGTCACAGCGCTGTCTACAGATATGTGTGGTGTTTTGTGCGTAGTACTGTTGCCAAGATGTTAACCTACCACATCCTCGAGCGCTGCCACTGATCGTCCGCAACCGCTTATTCGGAGAGCCGAAGCCTTCCTTATTCTCGGTTAGCCGTGAGATGACGCTCGTTTCCCTTTTCGCTACCTGGGGCCGCGCTCAGTAACATACAGCTCTGCTCTCCCGGTCTCCAGTTCATCGGATCATGCGCCTTCCGGACGGGGTCAAACGTCCAAGGCGCCTAATACACCTCAATGCCCAATTGAGCCGGTGACCGTTGCCTCGACCGGAAAGGTGTGAATGTGGTTCGTACGCCTCTTCTTGGTTGTTTTGGAATCAGGGTTTTTGGTCAACTCCACTAGGTGAAGTGCCACTGGTCCACCAACCAAGTTATAGCTCCGGATGTCAGCTTTTCGTTCTCTAACTTTGGTGAAGAAACACCTCCGCCACGAATAAGTACATCTCAGAGAGCATCGTCTCGATTTTCCGCCGGGGTAGTGTACCTGAAAGTGCAATCTTTTTCTAGGAACTTTAACTTCTGAACGAACTGATCTTGAGACTGCTCACTGTCCATTTCGACTGTGGCGAGGATATGACGGACGAAGACCTCATTTTGTTTTCTGTGCGTCTCCATTACCATTTCATAGGTTTCATATTCCACGACATGTTCGTGGACAGCAAGAGATATGTATAAAATCAGCATATCCAGTTTGTCGGGTTTTAAATTATCCACTGACTTGAGGACACTGAGAAACATCCTGTTCCACTGCCTGGTAGCATCTGGTAAGCTACGCTCAACATCGGACCGTTCGAGGCGTAATATCCGATCCATTGCTGTGTCGAATGAATTGTGTTATAACAGCATTCGCGAGAAACCAGAACGAGAAATGCCCAGACGTTAGGCTTTATTCGACATACAACGTACGTATGGAAGCTGAAAAAAGGGAAAGAAGATATGAGTCAGAAAAGCGATGTACAAAGTATTATGTCAACAAAGTTCTTGGTTTCTAACTAAACAACAATTTGTCTTTCTCTTATTACAACCATTTAACCAGTAAGGCCGCTTTTCGTGTCTCGAATCTCATTAAAAGATGCTTCCTGCGTATTCTAAAGGACGATTTTCCTCTTATTTACCGAACGTTCATCCGCCCTCCCTCGTACGGCAGCCAACTTCCACACTCCGGTCTCATCCGAAATCGTGACTGCTTTGGGTGCGTTCAGAAAACCGCTACAAAGTCCGTCTTTGGACTTCAACATCGGTTAGAAATCAGACGCATTAGGGGCGATCTATTTCTCCTCTACCATCTCTTCAACACGGGTACTGTCGACACCTTGCTGACTAACCCCACCCGAGGACACAGCAAAAAACTTTCAAGCCCTGCCCGAGAACTACTCTGCGTGCCTCATTGTTTACCTTAAGGGTGATATCANGTCTTTAAACTCCGTCTTGACTGTCACTCAAGTTTGTCCACTCATCTCCAATAAAAAAACTGTTTAAAAAACATTTTGAATTATACGAGAGTTCCTAATTTTTCATTTTACTTCTGGTCTCGAGCGGAGAAGGCCGACTAATGCCTTTTCTGCACTCTCTGTTCTAGAAACATTACAAACACAGATACCTTTCAATGACCCAGGACATTTGGGCAACAGCCTCCAACCCGTTAATCACTTTAGTGAATCACTTTACAGTGCCGTTATGTACAGTACAATTTCCTGATTCATTACAAGTCTTCTCCCGTGACTACCTGTTTAAAAATTGGCGACCCTGACAAGATTTAAGCACTGGATATGCCGAAGACTCCTAAAAGCGAGGACTCAGCCGCACAGACGGGAGACAAGCAGCGCGCAGCTGGAGAGTGTTCCGAGTGCGCTGAAGGAGAGACTAGAAAAGCGATTCACTATGGGACCAACAACATCCTGCTGGGTCTCGGAGAAGTTCAATATTGGGGACTATTCCCAGCGATGGGAGAAACAAGTGGCGATCTATCTGGAAAATATCCTCCGGAACGTCATGCCAACTTGTTGTTATCTCTGCTCTCCGGCGAGGCTTTTGATCTGATAACCGAAGCGGACTGCATGAAGAGAGGTTCAACACCATAAACATTTGTGTATCCAACGGCTATTGGATTCAATTCTTCGATCTACGGTAGGTGAATTTCCGTCCCTGCCGGATATAGACTACAAGACCCTGCCGTCTATCTGGGAAGGTTTGAAAGTTCGTGTAGAATAAATTCTGCCCATATTGACGCTGACACTAGTGTACACACACACACCTACACCGATTCGTCGCACTGTCCTGTCAGGTTTCTTGAGGTCCGGTTGACGGCTAACGACAGCTCAGCCCTTAGTTTTTTATGATATCCCGATGGTGACTTATGAATGTACATCCTTTCGGAGCGAAGTCATCTCCATTTTGTGCGACTTTTGCTCTCAGGCAAACAGCAACCGATCACCGATCGCAATTCGATGAAGCTACCATTTCAGCAGTTGAGAAACATTTCTACGTCGATGACTGCTTGGTGTCGGTGAACAATGTAGAGGCAGCCCAACGACTGATGGAACAGCTTCGTTCTCTATTGAATCTCACTCACTTTTCCCCATGTTCTGTATCCTAATCCACCTATCCCCTTCACGGTCATTGTTGTTGCGTTGGCACCATGCTTGTTTTCAAGCCGGTGGTAAATA